CGGGAGGGAGGCGCAAGGGGCTCAGGCAGGGACAAAGGGCCCGGCCACGGCCCCGCTGCTCGGAGGGTGCAGAGCGCAGCGCTCCTTGCACGACCCCTAAGGCCACCGCAGCCTGCAGCCCCCTAGCCTGGCCCGCGCCCACAGGGCTTCCCATGCGGGAAGGAACCTGCTTCCCTGCTCCGCGAGACGGCCGGCCGCAGAGGGAGCCACAAGGGGTTTGACCCTTGCAATTGTCTAACCCTGACTGTACCGCGAGGCCCTGCCAGCAGGAAGGCCTGGTGGGGAACAGAAATGGGAGCTGGCGAGGGGGAGAGGAGAGACCTGGAAGACGATGGGAGCTGTTGGGTGTGAGGAGCCCTTAATAAATTAAATTAATGGAGATGCCTATCTCCTAGAACTGGAAGGGACCTTGAGTCCAGTCCCCTGTCCTCACAGCAGGACCAAGTGCCATCTCTGACAAACTTTTGCCCCAAATGGCGTCCACGGGGATTGAACTCATAACCCTGGTTTCAGCAGGCCAATGCTCAAACCGCTGAGCTAGCCCTCCTCCCTTCTTATCTGTGCTGTGTGATCACTCTGAGCAAGCTGTATGTGACCTGATCTACTAGCCTGCCCTTGACTGGGACCACGGGGGAGGCCGCTGCCCCGGGGCTCCCTGGTGCAAGGCAACCCCAGGCCTTAGTACTGTGTGAACAGAAAGGCATCAAACAAGCTTTGCCCAAGGGTTGAGCTGGTGTGGGGCAAAACCCAGCCCTGAGTGATTCAGTCCGAGAGCAAACTGCTCACGCTGGCGGCTCCCGAGCCTGGCAGACGGCAGCAAGCAGGAAGGCCGGGGCAGGACAGATTCTTCCTCAGGGCTGGTAGCTCCAAAGCTGTAGCCTGGCCACAGCACTGCCTGCGCCAAGGGCACCAAAGCTCATGGAGCCAGTCCCACCCGCAGCATCACCACTATCCCGCCAGCTCCACTCATCAGCCCCAAGCCAGGATGGCACATTAGCTTCTCCAAGGCAGAGCTGAGCCTGTTCCCACTGGCTGATCAGCAAGGTGATGCTGGGTAGGGTAGGAGAGGCTGGAGTTTGTGCCCTGTGGATGCAGCATTGGCACCTGCAGGGGAACAGATGGGCAGACAGTTCAGAAAGGAGCTTACCCAAATCCCAGCGTGATCCCCTGGGGAATAACAGCTGAGCAGAGAAGTCCCAGTGTCGGGGAGGCTGGCTTGTCTGTCTGGGAGCTGCCAGCTCAGCAGATGGAGAAGTCACATCCCAGCTCTGCCAGCAAATTGTTTTGGTTTACCTGGAACGGAGATAAAGTGGCTGAGCTGGTTTGATCACAAGTTTCCTCAGGTCAGGGATGTTTGGCTTCCTTCCCCTGCCGTCTGAATACGGCTGATTTTCTCCCTTCTGGTCTGGAGCTGGCTCGGAGTGGCAGCAGATGTGGGTTGCTCCCCACCTTAGCACTTGAGGACGCAGCCCTGCTCAAAGCCAGCTGAAAGCAAACCCAACGGCATTTAAACCACCAGTCTCCTGCACTAATCTCTGCTGAAGGGGGCTCTTCCCGGTGACCAGAACTACTTCCCTCTTGGTGCTGAGCTGGGGCCAGCCAGAAGTTAACTCTCCTGCTGTGTCACGTCACATGGGCATCAAACAGAAGGGAGACTGGCAGAAATGTGACCCTGGCTTGATTCTGAGACCCCTGTGGGCTCCCAGCATGGAGGTCTGGCTGGTCTATCAAACTGGGGCAGTTCTGAGCTGTCTGTGTGTCTGAGAACACGCTCAAGTCCTGCGCTGTCACTGGACTGCCAAGCAAAGCCACGATGTCCCAAAGAAGTGACACAGAGATGGATTGGACTTGACCCTGTCTTCCCCTGGAGCCTGGCTGTGACCGTGGCTTGCGAGGGGAACCGGGGACCTCCTGGCACTCAGCCAGCCTGCAGGCTGCAGCAGCAGCTCTGATGGATCTGGGCATTTGGGTGGACATTGATTAGCCACATGTGTATCCGTTTGCCTGCCCACAATGCACAGCTACATGCGGCGCGTGCCAGGGAACAAGGATAGAGGCTGCTCGGCCCACCTCCCCTCCTCCCCACCCAGCCGCCTCTGATACTAGTCCTTTGGGTTAACCCTTAAGTCCAGGCTTATCCGTTCATCGTTTAAACGACTATAGCAGGGCAGAGCTGCTGAAACATGCGTGTGGCTCAGGCACATGCAGCCTGGGCTGTGTGCTTGCCACGTGCGCTGGCATCAATGGAAAGCACCATGGAGCGGTACCCTGGTGTGCCACATGGCTCAGCCCTTGCAGTGGCCTCTGGGCCACTCCCTGTGCTTTGGGCCATCGCAGTAACTCGTCCAGGGGCCCTGGGAGTGAGGGGACAAGTTCCCAACATGGAACTGATGTAGCACTGAATTGGCAATTTCCCAACCCCCGGGCAACGTGCTATTGTGAACAGTGCGGCCATGGTCACAGGGACGGGAGCTCTGTGGATCAGCCCTGGTCACGTGGTGTGACGGCGTGTCGGGGACCCCCGACCCTGCACCCCGTCTGCAGCCAGATGTGACCCCACCAGCCGGTGGAATACGGAGGGTTTATTGCTTCTCAGAGATACAGCGCAGCCTGGGTTTGATGTGGACATCGGAATAAGGAGCACGCAGCCTTGGACTCCTGGGGAGGGGGTGCCCAGGCCCCTGACCCCCCCCCCGCACTCGGCTTAGTCTGTTCTCTTCATGTTTTCCCAGCCAAGACTGCCCACCTCCCAGCCAGGTGTTCGCCTCCACCTCCCTCCCTTTGTCTCTCCCTCTGGGAAGAGCCGTGTTACCTGCCCAGGCTGGGCCTAGGTGTCTGGGCCAATGCACGTGTGGGGGAGTCCGTGGGAATCGCACAGCCCAGTGCAGGAGGACGCCGGGGTACAGAGCAGACCCCCCCCACACACATCACACGTGGTGTCTAGCCCATTGTCCCAGCCATGGCTTTGTGCTGCAGAGGGTATTTAGCGCACCGCTCCAGTGGACTCTTAGGCGAGGCAGAGCCGAGCGGGAGCATTGCCACGTGCCACGGCAGGGCAGTGGAAGCCCGGGGACGCCACACATA